GTTTCAATTTTAACGCACTATTACTTTCATAGCCTAACGCTTTGTTTGTTTGTTGAATTTTCAGCAAAGATACTCGTAGGGCTATCCACTGTGGCCGTCCCTAATTTTGAAGTGATAGACTGGAGGGAAGGCAACTAATCAACGCAACTTACCGTTAAGACCGATATTTGACCACTGAAATGAATAGCGTGATTTTTCTTTCTTTTGTGGTAACAGGATTCGAACCACGGAACCTCAATCCCACCAGACAGTACGCTAACCACTAAGCTGCGCTCGGCTCCCGTCTAACGAACCCTAAACTACAAATACTAAATTTACAGAACGTCCAGTTACAAAATCCACCTGTTTTTTTATGAAATATACTTATTAAACTACCGAACTGTCTTAAGTTTTGTGTATTAGTTATTTCGGAATATTTTAGGTTTTTGTTTCAGTGCTAGCGTATTATGCTCAAAAGTAAACATAGATGTTAATAATCACTATTACTCGGTATTAGTTTTTAAAATAAAAATATTCACAACAGTATAAAAAGAAATGACGGTTGTGTCTCCCGGTGGCTCAGCGGTAATTCTGTGGGTTTATAACGTTAAAAATCGGGTTTCGATAACCGCAATAAGCACAGCACAGATAACCCATTATTTCGTTAAGGTTCAAGAATGTTTTTAAAAGATTGAAATTTAACCATTCTATTTAAAATGTTAGTTATCCGAAACAACACTAGTTCATTATTTCATTAAATTGTTTAATTTCCTTACTCACAACTTGTATTCACATTAGAGCGCAAAAGTTTAAATATTTTGCTCGAACACATGTTTTCAATATTCAAAATTTTCTGTAAACATTAACTTTGATTTGTTTGTTCGTATTTGAGTGCATGGCTACGCAGTGGGCGATCTGCGTTTTGTCCACCACAGGGAATCGAGCCCCCTATTATAGCGTTGTAAGTCCGTGAATTTACCGCTTAATCTCTCGGGGGACCATTAACTTTTAGAACAGTTTTGTAAAAAAATAAGAGAGAGAGAGATCCAGGATCACAATATCATATAACCACGACTGCAAGCTGAACTTAAACGTAAGCTAAGCCTAACGAAAACAAACGGTACATAATGTAACTTAAGTCCTTGTTGCACTCGTTATTACGTCACATACTTTCTGTGCCTTATCTCTACGAAAGCAATATGTCAACGGTTTATTTATTTCAATACTTTTCAGAATAAAACGAGTAAATGCTTTGTTTCCAGATTTTGTTTATACTGAAATTGGCTTTAAATGTTATCTGTGTATCATTGCAGAACCTATTGCCCCCCCCCCAACAAGACAGAGCGATAATAAAATATTAACTTAGTTTCTAGCTTAAATTGGTCGAACCATCACTTTAATAAGGATTAAACACCAAGAGATTGGGGTATCTTTGAATGGGTTGTTAGCTGGTAAGTGTTTTTTGATTCAATTCATTTATGATATTCTATGCAGAACGTTCACTAAAAGCTATGTTAACTTGTAAAATTTCGTATAATTGATATGTGATGAGTATGCAACTCTAGAAATTATTTTCGTTAAAGATCCATTTGATTCAACGTCTTTATTGGTTTTCTTTACTGGATGTGCTGATAGCACCAGATGACGTTAGAAAGACAATAAAACAATTCTTGGAGCATGTTTAGAAATGAACTTATGCTTCATATTCGATTGACTCGGTATGATCTGCTGGTAAGAGTGCTCGACTCTCACGCTACGGATAGCGGGATTGAAACCAGGCGCTGAACATGCTAAAATTCTTTCACCCGAGAAGAGATATAGAGTGACGGTCAATCCCGCTATCTGTTGGTAAACGAGTAGCCTAAAAGTTTGGCGGTGGGTAATGCTGGTAGGTTGCCTTCCTTCTGGTTGACAGCTTAAAATTAGGAAGAGAGTCTTAGTAGCTTTGCCATTAACACAAACAAATATATTCGCTTATTTTTGCATTCTCCCACTAAAAGTAGCAAAAAAGAGATTCTGTATATCGCAAGCCAACAGAATGCAATAAACCAAATATCCAATAACAAAGAAAAGTCTGAAACTGGAGTAGAATTCGTTGAACAGAGAACTATTCCAGATTTAGTGTTCTGGTTTGTTGGAACTGCATTTTGTTCTTATCGATGTTTAATCTGATTTCACCACAAGCAACAACATTAAAAATAGAGCTGTTTTTATAATAAATGTCCAATTGTAGTTTATATAATTATGAAGTTAAATATATCGATATATAACTCACTTTTTATTTAAATCACTGGACTTCGTTTCAGGTACAATATTTTGTTCCTTTCTCTGACCTACGCCGTTCCTATGATTTCGATGGGAGTTGCTTACGCCTTCATGGGCCATGTGTTGTGGGGTGGAAAAACCATTGGAGAAGCTACTGAACGTCACAAAAAAGTGAACAAGTCAAAGAAAAAGGTGACAGTTTCTTACAAACATTTACTTCGTAAGTTAGAACTGGTGAGCATGCGAGTGCACCAAGTACAAGTAACCCTGCATTAGCGAGTGCAAATCAAGTCTAATGTCACTTATGAGACTGCATTATTACTAACATGGACTTCAAGTTTTCTTTTTCAGGAGCATCAGTAACAAAGAGGTTCTACAGCCCTACATTAGCGAGTGCAAATCAAGTCTAATGTCACTTAGGGGACTGCATTATTACTAACATGGGCTTCAAGTTTCCTTTTTCAGGAGCATCAGTAACAAAGAGGTTCTACAACCCTACATTAGCGAGTGTAAATCAAGTCTAATGTCACTTAGGGGACTGCATTATTACTAAAATGGACTTCAAGTTTTCTTTTCAAGAGCATCATGAACAAAAAATTTCTCCGAAATGTTTACTTTAGGCTCGAAGTTGTTGATTTTTCTAATGAAAACAAACTTGCAAGTATTTGTACAAAGCACCATTCTGACTCCGCGCGTAGATTAGGTAGTCCAAAAACATTTTGTAATGCATTTGACTTTTGTATTTATTAATTTATCGATCAGTTAAACAATTGTTATGAATAACATATTTACATGTTTTCAGTTAAAGAGCAGGTTATATTCCTCCAAAACGGTCTTAAAACACCTTTTTCATCTATCGTTATCATGTTTCAGGTGGTCCGCATGCTTATTGTTATTGTCTTAATCTTCGCCATTTGTTGGTTACCCTACCACGTGTTTTTCCTCTACACCTATCATTATCCAGAGACTGCTTACACCGATTACATTCAGCCTTTATTCCTGTCTTTCTACTGGTTAGCGATGTCTAATTCGGTCTACAATCCTGTAATTTACTACTGGGCTAATAAACGGTACGTGGAATCACCTTTTTTGTTTGTTTTATATTGATGATAGTTAGCACATAACACTATATCAACTGGCTGGCTCCTTAGTGTAATTTACTTTGTAACCGCGAAAGGAGTTTAGTTATCCATGAAGAAGATAATTTACTTTGTAACCGCGAAAGGAGTTTAGTTATCCATGAAGAAGATAATTTACTTTGTAACCGCGAGAGGAGTTTAGTTATCCATGAAGAAGCTAATTTACTTTGTAACCGCGAGAAGAGTTTAGTTATCCATGAAGAAAATAATTTACTTTGTAACCGCGAGAAGAGTTTAGTTATCCATGAAGAAAATAATTTACTTTGTAACCGCGAGAAGAGTTTAGTTATCCATGAAGAAAATAATTTACCTTGTAACCGCGAGAGGAGTTTAGTTATCCATGAAGAAAATAATTTACTTTGTAACCGCGAGAGGAGTTTAGTTATCCATGAAGAAAATAATTTACTTTGTAACCGCGAGAGGAGTTTAGTTATCCATGAAGAAAATAATTTACTTTGTAACCGCGAGAGGAGTTTAGTTATCCATGAAGAAGAAGCTTTAATGAAAAAATTAAAGTAAGTTAAAACCAAACTAAGGATGAAATATACAAATCTGTGTGTGTTTGCATGTATGTAAAAAAAAAGAGTCAATAATTAAAACCTTTGTTGTTGTATTATTAATGATGATTTTACTTGCCTTAAAGATTAAACATATGTCGAATTGAAGATATATTAATCTAAAATTTATTGATTCATAAAACATTACATTTTAGCAATTACATTTAGATAGATAGATAGTGAAAAGGTTGAAAGTCGGATAAATAGCACATGTATCGAAGTGGTACATAAATACCGTTTTCTGTATACTGAAAGTTCCCAAAGCTTGTAGTATTCTTTTACTAAGTGTATTATTGTTGTTGTTTTGAGTCTTAACCACTGACAAAAAGTCTTATAGAATTATATTTATTTGAAAATGTTTCGTTTCAGTTTTTTGTTTTAATTTTTTTTACGATACTGAGAAGGGCCTGAATATTAATTCAAGAAATAATTAATTGATGTGAGATTTAAAACCTAATATTTCTAATATATATTTTACGTATGTTTTCTAGGTTTAAGCAATATTTCCAATCAGTCCTGTGCTGTAGAAAAAACCTTGAATTACCCACTAGACCGAATGCTTTGAAGCGCCAAGAGAAACATCAGTATTTCTTAGAACGACTTTATTGCTACATTTCGACAAAAGATAACAGGACTGAAGGAAAAAACTTTGTACGTTATTCCGAGAAAGATGATAATGAAGACAGAATAGCTGAGGATGTCCTTTAACATAATCATTCCTTAAACTTAATAACAACATATTGAAATTCAAGGAATTATTGACCATTTTCCTGCAGGAGATAATAATGTTATAAAACGTGTCCAGTTTCATTCAGTTTTCAATATAGAATCCAAAAGAAATTTACTTTAATGAACTTATTTTTATTTCCTGTTGAAAGTTCAATTATAAAAATTGGTATGTGCGCATCTTGCTTTTTCCTTAAAATTCAAAATACAAAAAAGAATAATAATGTAACAGTTTTGGCTGCAGCGCCACCTGTTATGTTACAAGTAACCTTAAAAAAATCTATCTCAACTTGTCTTGTTTCAATTCGTTCACTAACAGATGTAACCAATAAAAAGGTGTGCGTGATATAAAGATATATAAAAATCTGTATTCTATTCTTGTGGATTGATATACTTCCTCCTCAGAGTCAGAAGGTTCTTTAAAAAAATACTTTTAACTTTGGCCAAAACGTAGAGAATTACATCTTGGTTTACACTTCAACATATATATATATATACAAAGTACAATTATTTATTTGATTATACCATGTGATTAAGTAGGCTTACAATAAACAATTAAGTAGGAGACACAAAGCAAATATATAAAAAAAGAATAGCGAAACACTTTTCACAGAATTAAAATATTTAACCGGCCAGAACTGAAATAATTCAGAAATTAAATACATTTAAAAAAGAAAAGTTTCGCCGGTACTATCCTACTATTATCTGAATATCATCTGTTCATATATTTTGTACATTTTATTTTTATTCTGGTAGTATTTTTTACTTTGGTTTCCTTTGCACCATTATATTTTATAAGGTGCTTTTAACAATACTTTTATTTTGGGGAAAAAAGGTGATCTCCCCTTCTCTAGTATTCTAAAATCGAAATGTCCTCTTAAATCAATTATCTTCATCATTGTGAAAATTACTTTTTTTAATCTCATTTAGAATAAAGCAAAAACTATGAAAAAGCAAAGGTTATTTATGATTACGGTGAAGGAGATCAGTAAATTGTTAAGTGCCTATTTTATACTATTATATATTATTTTAATATTCAGAACTTCTATTTAGAATATCATAACGTATAATATGCGTAATAAAATTAAAAGGTATTTATACTTAATCAAGCTCATCTATACGATGCAATATAAAACAGAAATATTATTTCTTACATACTACGCTGTGGCTATATAGTTTGTAGATAAGCATAAATGTACACAATGAGCTACCTGTGCTGTGTCAACCACGGGTATCGAAACCCGGTTTTTAGCGTTATAAACCTTCAGACTTTCCGCTGAGCCACTTGGGGCTAATTATATAGATATATTATAAGTAACAGCACGAGTGAACTCCATCTGCAAGCTAAACTTCTCGTAATCTTTAAATGTTTAATTTAGTTTTCTTTACAAAATTGTTTTCGTAAAATATTAAACCGCAACACCCCCCAGTGACACAGCGGTATGTCTGCGGACTTAAAACGCTAGAAACCGGGTTTCGATACCCGGGGGGGGCAGAGGACAGAAAGCCCATGGTGT